ACTTGTAATTCTTCTGCCTTGGCCTCCTGAGTGCTGGGATTACAGTACATGCGTGCGTTGCCACACCCAGCTCTAGATTCTTTTTTTTTTTTTTTGGTACTGGGGATCGAACTTGGTTCCTTGCGCTTGCGCAGCAGGCGGCAGAACCACTGAGCTAAATCCCTGGCCCCCATCCTTTTGAATTAAAAAGCCTGCTGCATAAGATCCGGAGAGAAGTGAGGAAAACAGGGTGACTCCCTCTCCCAGGCTCAAGGCCTGCTCTCTGACCAAAAGTCTATTCTCCGAAGCCTGTCCCAGTGCTGCCCAAGTCCCCTGCCTGGAGGGCACTTCTCAGAACCTGCAATAGGGACAGCCCTGCAGCCTGGGAGAAGGTGTTGCTCACGTGGCCGTTGTCATCCAGCAAGTTGTTGGTCAGCTTGAGCTTGTCAAAGGACACTATTTGCTTCATCCACTGTGCACCCTTGGCCGGCGAGTCTGGGTGGTAGTGCACGCGGCCCGGAGTGGCAGGGTCCGCCTTGCCGGCCACCAGCCAGGAGGAGCTGTGGAAGGCGTACCTAGGGCAGCACCAGGGAAGCAATCATGCCACATTGGGGGTGAATGAAATGGGCCTTGCTCCATCCGCTGGGTAAACTCCCAAAAGTGCCTCTAAAGAGTTTCCTTGCCAGTGAAATCAAGCCCTCCCATTTAACATATAAGCTGGGGGTTTTAATAAGGGGATTGGGGAAAAACTAGAAAAATCCCATTGGCCCCCAGTACACAAAACCAGGACCCTACTGGGACACTGAGAGGAGGCCATGCTCCTCTCCTCTCATTTCGCTGTATGCGGGTCTGCTTGTCCCAGCAGCGAGATGGCAGGAGCCTAAATTTGGCCTTGGGCGCAGAGCGGTCTGCGGTCTGCGCTGGCTTTATTAATTATTATTAATTGTCCAGGCAGCCAAGGCCCGCCCTGCATAATCTCTCCAGGCCACCCCACCTTTCCGGCCCAACTCTGGGACCAAGAAATCCCTGGAGATGGGGGTAGGGAACCAGACGCTCATGATAGCCTCAAGGGAGAGAGAGACTCGAGAAAATCTGAGGCTGTGTACCCAACTGCCTCAGGTCTGAAGCCGGAGTTCCTAGCTGTTGGGCTTCCTGAGGCAGAGTCTGGAGAATAAGTAGGGGTGAGGGTCTGGGGTCCAAAGGGGGCAGAGAAGGACCAAGTCCAGAAGGTAAATGGGGCAGCCTTCTCAGGTACCTGGAAGGACCTGCACATTTAAAGAGCTTCGGGCCATGAAGTTAGTCATCCAGCAGGGACCTGCTGCTTCCTAGGGTCCCACACTTAAACAGACCAGGTGGTCCCGGGAGCTCGCTTACCGGTACCGTTTGTCGTCCACTGGCACAAAGTCCATAAGCAGCATGTAGTCGGCCATAGGGTCCATGCCGAAGAGCTTCACTTGGAACGTGGGGAACATTCGCCTGGGGGTGGCAGAGCCTCCAGTCACCTCAGGGGAGGAGGGCAGGGTGCCCTACTGTGACTTGCCCAGGACTGGCAGCCTCTCACAGGGCCCTTCCTCTTGGTTTCCCTTTTGGCTGCTATGTTCCACCCACTGCTCTAACCTGAGTAGGCCCCTGCCTGGCTGCGAGTGAATGGTGCAGCAGGGCAAGCTCCCCGTCCTTTTCTAAAGCACTGAAATGGCTAGCCCTGCACTGTGCCTTGAAGTCCCAATCTTCTGCCACCTGTGTTTTTGTAGATCTGCCTTACCCTGCCGATTCCTCGTCTTCCCAGACCTAGCCTTGGCTGGCATCAGGATTCCTAAGAGGCGGATGCCCCAGTTTCCCAGCTCTTGGCAGAGCCTCCCTAGTTTGATCTAAGAGGCCCCGGCTCCAACAAAGTGAAACCAGATAGTTCGAGTAATTCTAAGGAGTCCCCATTGCCCTTTCAGCTAGGCCTGCGCTATTCCCCAATCCCTCCAGCAAGGCTGACACCTCAGAAGCCCACAATCCCTGACACCCAGGTTCTGGCCTGATGTTTGGAGCCTCTACATTGGCAAGTACCCGCTTCCCCCAAGGCGCTTAACTCCAATACGTGGCTGCCCAGGGCAGACTTGGATTATGCCTTAACAACTCTCCAATCTCTCCTCTGGACCCTGATTTGATCATCAACCAGGGCTCTTAAAAGGATATTCCGCAGCTCCTGGATGGGCTGTTTCCCGGAGCCTGCCCTCGGCTGATGGCACTGCAGTACTAGCCACTGGGCCCTGGAGGACAGCACAAGGCTTGGCTCCCTTCTTGCCTTTCCCACTCTCTCCCTTCACAAGCAACTCCCTGTGGGCAATGGGCAGAAAACAGATGCCAGAAGCCAGTCTCCCAGTACAGGGCTCCTGCAACCTCCACCAGAACTTCTGCCGGCTGGAGGGTGCTGCTGAAAAAACAATCTTAAGGTAAAAGCTGGCCACCGACAGGGGCCTTGCTGGGCAGGCCTGGACCAGAGGCTCAGCCACTGCCTCCAGGAGGGCCATGCACCTAAGGACAGCAAAGACAGCCTGGAAGAAATCCACACACGGAACAGGAGACAGGACAGGCCCCAGGTTCCCCAAGGAGGACGGCGTGGCAGGGAGACAGAAACTGAGAGAAAGCTTTGCAAACAGGCCCTGAGCTCCCCTTGGCTGCGCGGACAGGGAGCTGGTGTGTACATTAGACACAGCCCAGAACCCGCCTTTGTCTGCTGGTCAAATCGGATGCATCTGCAAAACTTGTTCCCCTTCTCTCGGGCATTAAAGCAAATACAGGCCAATTGGAAGACTGTGGCCGGCTTACGCAGAGCCAGAGCCTACAACCACTAGAAATTTAGGCCTGAGAAAATTGGGTAGCAAATCCCTCTGAACTAAGCCCATTGAATCTTAATTCTTTCCTAAAATCGTTCGGACAATTGCTCAGCTTCTGCTCTTTATCTTGCCCGCGTAGAATGAACTCAGGAACTCAAACAGGATTTTTTTTTGTTTGAGCTGGGACCTACTGGGAACAAGCTGAGCGGCCGAGCACCTCGGTCGCGACTGCTTGCCCCAGATCAGTGCGCTCCGAGCTGGTTGCTTCCCCTTGCCGCATCTTGGGGCAGTAGGTCCGGCAGGTCTGTCCCAGGGATTCTCTCCGCCGCCCGCGCCGTCCCTCCCGCCCGGTGCTCACCTCGGCTGTCGCTGGAGCCGGGACCGCGGAGAGCAAAGGAGGAGGCAAGGCCGAGAGGACCCGCAGGTGGCCGGGCCGCGCCCCCCACCCTGCTTCTGAACCCCTTGCTCGAGCATCGGACTGAGGCGCGCTGCCCGAGTGGCAGCATATGGGGAGGGTCTTGGCGCAGGGAGGGGACGCCCTGACCTGCCGGCCTTGGTGACGATCATCTCCGTGCCCAGCTGATTGAACTCGTCCCACAGCGCCTTCATCTCCAGCTGCACGCTCACGCTGGCCACCTTCGCGTTTTTCTTCACCGGCGCCTTGGCGGCGGCCGCGCAGCTGGACCCGGGGCCCTCGGGCTCGGAGGCGGCGCTGGTGGCGGCCCCGGCAGCGGGAGCGAACGGGTAGGCGTGCGGCGGCGGCGGGCCGGGGGCCCCGGGGACGGCGGCGGCGCACGGGTCGTAGCGCGGCGGCGGGGGCTCTCGCGGGCCGTACGGGTCGGCGCCCGGCGACGCGGCGCCCGGGAAGCCCCCCGCGGCCCCCAGGCTGCTCAGGCTGCTGGCCGTGAAGGCTGCAACGTCGCAGAAGTGCGAGAGCTGCGTGAGCCACGGGCTGGACACCGCGGAGATCATGACCCGAGGGCCGCCGCCGCCGCCCCCGCCACCGAGGTGAGCGCTGCCCAGCGCCGCGGGCCGAGTGGCGGGCCCAGC